GCAATTGGCCCATTATTATTCGATATTTTTAGAAATAAAAATGACGATATTTTTGATCACTTAAATATCTACCAAATTATACTTGCTATTATTATTCGAAATTTTTTAAAATGAAACATGAAGTTTACGATATATTTAACACTTAATGTTTGAGATTTATCTTGATTAAGTTACCATCAGTAATATCGTATTTTATTTTCTAAAGTTGCTTGATTTTTTTCTATCTTACATTAAAAAATATAAAGTGAATGAATAAGTAAAAATATAAGCATTTAAGCCAATATATATGTATTGTATAATATGTGTATCGAGGATTTCCACAGATTCCTCAAAATTGTCAACTGGTGTATTTTAAAACCATTTTCTCAAAATTCCACAGAATTCCTCTGAAAGTAAGTTACCAGTTAGGCCATGGTTACAAAAGAATGAATGGTAAAACTAAAATATCACATTTTCTGCAAGACTTACATACAAACCTAAACCATCTTTTAGATTATGTAACACTAGTGGTTAAAAAACAATTTATAGGTTCACTTTTTTGTTATTAAAGTGTAATTTCATTAAAAAATCATGTATTGACTGAGGGCAAAAGTTTTGACTTTTTTCTGCAATTGGCAACGATTTGATTTGACTCTCTGCTTTCTTCGAGGGGAAATATTCATCCACTAATAAAATTCCACGTGGCCAAAAGTAGCGTGCTAGACAAGCGTTTTTTTCTACCTGTTACATCCCCGTCAAATACCGCCGTTAAACAGTAACGGACGCCGTTTGCTCTTCCTCGTCTCCACTAAAGATAAAGATAAAATCTTTCACTTTTTAGTTTCAGGAAGGTAAAGCAAAATGAACTTTTCTTCTTATTATCTTCTTAATTCGTGTTAAATATTGAAAAGTTTTCAACTTTATAACTTACTGATTCTTTTTCTTTTGTTACTTCCTCCAGATTTTCGAAGAAAAGACCCCGATTTGAGATTCTCGTTTTAAAGTATTTTCTTGTTTGATTTTAATGGAAAAGAAAAGAAAACAAAAAATGTACGAAGATTATCAACTCATGAACTCCACAATCGAAGAAGAAAATGTGATTTTTAATACTTCCGACAACAACATTTTCGGTTCGGTTTCTTCGTCTCCGACAAGAACAACAACAAAGAACCTAAACCCTAATTTCTCCTTCTTTACTACCGTTAGTCTTCGCTTCCAAAACCCTAATATCTCCACTTTTTTTTTTAACAAATTATATAGTTTTGGGGTTTCATGTAGAAGGAGGAGTATGGGTCAATCGGGTCGGGTTGGTCAACCGGGTCGGATACTGCAATCGAAACTCTTCCACCTCGTCCTCGAGCTATGAATAGACACACTGCTCGTCAGATTCAAGAACTGGAAGCGTACGTCTTGCCGTTTTTTTTTGTGTTTATTAATCAGAAAGTTAGTAAAAATGATTAGTGTTACTGTTAACTAAACTGTGTTTATTGTAGATTCTATAAAGAAAATCCTCTTCCTGATGACAAACAAAGAACAAAACTAAGTAAAAAAATTGGTCTTAAGCCTGTACAAGTCAAGTTCTGGTTTCAGAATAAACGTACCCAAATCAAGGTAAAATTTCACC